GTATAAGATTATAACATGATATAAAACTCAAAAAAGTTGATTTTACATGATATTGCCCCTTTAACTTTCAAATGTTTTTTTCATTAACTTCTTCCCTAAACTGCTACTTGTTTTCTACTTATTTCAAGTGATGACTTAAATATTTTGCAACATTCAAAGTAAAAAAAAAAAAAAGCCATTAAACATGTTGGGATCATGTTGACCCTATAACCCCACCTTTGGGACCCACTACAGCTGATCTGAGTTTTGGTTTGTCTGCAGCTGTTTGGATGAAGATGATGTGAGGAGGAGGAGGAGGAGGACTTTAGAAGGAGAAGGGAGGTGAAGTTGAAATGGGGAAAAGGAGGTCCACTCTGGACTGATCTTGGACCTTGGACGCATGGAGGAGGCCGACCATGCGAGGGACATGAGGTTTCCGGTGCGCCCTGAAGGCAGCGCAGACCCGGAGACACGCGCGTCCCGTCCCCCTCCTGGACCCCTGCAGGATGGAGGTCCGAGCAGGAGACCCGCCTGCAAGCCTCCGTATTCCTACATCGCCCTGATCACCATGGCCATCCTGCAGAGCCCGGAGAAGAGACTGACCCTCAGCCAGATCTGTGAYTTCATCACCCGCCGCTTCGGCTACTACCGGGACCGGTTCCCCGCCTGGCAGAACTCCATCCGTCACAACCTGTCCTTAAATGACTGCTTCATTAAAATCCCACGGGAGCCCGGGAACCCCGGGAAGGGGAACTACTGGACCCTGGACCCCATGTCGGCTGACATGTTCGCWAACGGCAGTTTTCTCCGCAGGAGGAGGCGCTTCAAGCGGCTGCGCTCCTACCTGAAGGAGCGCCGTCCGGTGCCGGGTTCTCCTCCTGCGCTGTTCGGATCCGGCCTCGACCTGGACTCGGGGAGTTTTCTGGGTCCCCAGGCTTTTCCCGGCATCCCACCTGTGGGCAGCATCATCCCAGCGCTGTCGTCACTCCTCTGCAGGAGGTCCCTGTTCATGTTGGAGCATTTGGACCCGGACCGGCGAGCCCTGGTCCAGTCTTTGGCCCCGAACTCTGTCATGTCTCCTCCYGCGCTGCACGGAATGATTCCCGGCTCGTCTGCTGTTCGGTTTCCCCATCAAACCTTCACCAGTTGAGTTTAAGATGAACTGAAAATATCTGGCACCAAACATTAATTTAATTTTTATTATGGTTGATTCATTCTTCTGGTTTATTTCAATAAGGTCCTATAAAGGTTTTTGTTTTATAATTTATCCTTAAGATTGACTAATTTGAAAATATCAAATGAAACAAAATCAACATGTTTTGTTGATCTGATAAAAAAAATATAAATAGGCTACAACATTTATGACTAATCACAGCATGGTCAATGCTTTAAAAAGGAAGAAACAGCAATGAATTAGAGTAAAAATTAGACAAAAAGCTTTTATATTTA